ACGGGCGGGGGGTGGGGCGGGCCCGGCCTTCTCCGGACCGGCGTGACCTCCCGCCCTCACTCCCGCCCTCGTCCCTGTCCCTCCCAGCACCCGGGATGCTGAGGGAGATGGAAGCGGTCGGGCCTGAGGACAAAGTTTCGGGGATGGGGCAGGGCCACCGCTGCTCCTGGGGCCCCCGGGGGTGAGGAGTGTTATGCCCAGATTTCAAGATCCCCAAGGAGACCACATCAGGGAGCCAGCGAGTCCGGTGCAAAAGCAGAGGGTTCTTTATTTGAGCTAGCTGGAGGAAATGGAGAGGGACCTTTAACCCTAAGGTAAACAATGCCTGGGGTCCCGAGGGAGCGGGGACGGCTTGTTGATGGATGGATGGACGGACAGACTGACCGGTGGGTGGGTGGATGGATGGATGGATGGATGGATCAGTGGGTGGATGGATGGATGGATAAGGGAGTGGGCTGTCCCCCACGCCTGGGACCCCCACCCTCACTGTACAGCTGTGAGGGAAATACGTGCTCCTCTCAGGGGCCTGGAGTGAACCTCAACCCAAGCCCGGAGTCAGCGGAGTCCAGCACCGCCCACTGGGAGCCGCGGGGTAGGATAAGGGCTGGCCCAGCCTGAGACCCACCTCTTCTTCCCCGGTTTCCCACTCAGAAGCTACCTCTCCTTTCTCCCAGCCTCCAGCCTCTCCCCCAGTTTGCCCAACTACGCAGACACCTAGGTGTCAGGCCTGGCCTGGTGCCCAGCATAGCAACGTCTAGAGCCCCAGCAGGTACCGGGTCGCATCTCAGCTGGTCTTGCCTGAGACTGCTGGAAACCTGCCACATCCGGTGAGGGAGCCGGCTGCACCGGGGGCGGGGTGAGTGGGTATGGCCCTGAAAACAAACGGCTGCTGGAGCCTCATTAGGTGGCGAGTAATTGGCAGTAATTAGAGGAGGAAGACTGAGGCCCATGGGTGGGGTGGCCCAGATTCAAATGTTAAGCACCGCCCCCCGCCCAGGTGCCCAGGGCTCCTCGCGGCATTCGGGGTTCTCTGTAGTGCAGGGAAAGGGGCGTGAGGGGCGGTAGGGCAGGTCAGTAGAGTTTAGTGCCAAGGCCAGGGCGGGGAGTCCTTTTTCTCCAGGGTGTGGGAGGTGGGGCTGGGCGCCCCTATTTGCATTTAAGGAGGTTCCTTTAGCTGAACAAAAACTTGGATTCCAGGGGATTAACTTCTGGTGGACCTGGGAGGGCCAGGTTCAGAACCAGGCTCTGGTCCCCGGTCCCACGGCTTCCTGCTCGCACTCCCCACCCGGTTTGGCCCTGGGACAGACGGAGGAAAGGGAGCCACTCTCAGCTCTCCCATATTTGCTAAAGGTGGAACATTTTGGAGCTGTGGCCGCCTCCCCTCTTTTAACCCCAAATGTCAGGCGCAGTCACCTAAGTCTCAGATGACGCCTCCAGGAGGCGCAGAGTGCCACGCTGCTGAGCTGGCGGGAGCAGACCCCTCTGCCCCGGCTTCATGCACGCGGCTGGAGACACTGCAATTAGCAAGAGGCTGTAGAGGACATGAGAAGCTGTCACCCACTATCTTGTTCAAACAGTGCGCCCAGGGTGGTCTAGGGGTGTCTCATCTGGGAAAGAGGGCTGATGGGTGAGAGGGACTCGTTCTGTTCCATGAGGTCCAAAGACTGGGAGTAGGAGAGAAGCTACAGGGAACGGATTTCCTCAGGTTCGACCTAAGAATGTTCTAACAGCTGCCCCAAAAGTGTGGTTCTGGGAGGACATGAGTCCTGGGCACCCAGCCCCTGGCAGGCCCTGTGTTTGTTAACTTGCGGAAGGTGTGAGGAGAGAGGCATGAGGGCATGGTGAGGAGGGGGTGCAGGATTTGCCGCATAAGAGGCGGGGAGCAGACTGTTCCTCACTCCCCATGGAAGCAGCAAGAGCTGAGCAAGGAAAACGGGACACTGATGGTGAAATCATGCCAGTTGGACCTGGAAATTGGCAGACAGCTGAGTAGGTAAATCAGGCACTGGAGAGCACTTCTTGTAAACAACAAAGCTTGTGAGTTGAAGCAATAGGCCACCTGGGCTCCTGGGGTGGGTGTCGGCAGGGGGGACTGTCAGGGCAGGGGCTGCAGTGGTGAGAACTGTAGGCACACCAGGGAAGGGTGAGGCTTGGGGGCCCGCTGCCTGAGGAGCAGCTGAGGTGGAGAGGGTTGAACTGGCTGGATGGGCTGGGATTTCCCAAAGCCCGGCCCTCAAGGCTTCAGCACCTTGTCCCTGGGTACTTGGGCAGTCACACAGCCAGCCAGCCAGTAGAAAAAATACCTTTTTATTAATTATTAGGAAAAGTCCATTCATTTAAAGCAGATGTGCCAGGAGGTTAGGTACTGCAGGACGGATGAAGGACCATGCAAGAGGAACAGTGAAAAGGGGGTGGACTCCACGCTCCACAAACTAAACAGCAACATGAACACAGAATCACAAATACGAGGGCCCGTCCTCAGGTCTCCTCCCACCCAGTCCTTCAGCATGAGGCCCAGTGCTGACTTTAGAGGGCTGTCCCTAGAGGTGCCAGGGCATCTGGAAGTGCTGGACCGGGAGCGGGGTGCAATGTGTGGCTTCGAAGTTGTGCAGATGTTTCTGGGCCTAAGGGAAGAGGCGGGATAAGTGGGGTGCACAGCACTGCAGTGAGTGGCAGCCACCAGACATCTCCCCACCCTCTACCTCCAAACCCACTACCCACTCTATAAAAGCTGCCACTTCCAACTGTCCCCAAGCCCCACATGTGCCCCTGGCCCTCAGGCACCCCCATCTTGCTTCCCTCCCCTTAGCTCACCAGAAACAAAGCCAGCTGCTGCCTTTCACGTGCACTCATGTCCTCCCCTGCAGAGAGGAGGTGCTCAAACATGGCCCACGCATCTGGGAATCTATCCCCTTCCCGGGCTCTTCCCAACCCCCTCTCCTGCGCCAGGACCGCCTTACCCACACTCCAGGGGAAGTCTGGCCCGTGTTCCGCCTGGTAGGAGCGGAGGACAGACAGACACCAGTCTTCCTCTACCTCCCATCGGCTGTAAATCGAGGCTAGTCAGGGAGAGACATGAGGGCCCGTCAGCACCTGGCTTTGCCAGCCCCACCCAGAGCCTCCCCAGAGCCCTTCTCACCTTCCTCCAGCTGCGAGGAGGCCTCCAGCCACTGCCTCACCACTTGAAGACCCTCTTCTGCCATCACATGGGGATACCTGCAGGGGCGATGCCAGATGGGGGTTAGACCCATTCGCTTCACTCCTCATCCCTGAGCCTTCTTCCCTTCCTCCTGGTGCTGGTGTACACACATGTACACGTATGTGCACACATATGTACAGGTACATACACACACACACCCTGGCTCTCACCGATGCTGCAGGAGCTGCAGCAGGAGGTCGTTGCCTCGGTTGGACATGATGTCCTCAGGAGCCCTGGAGGTGAGAACGTACACTGGAGGGGAGGGAGGGTTTGGATACCTGGGTTTCTAGTGGGCAGAGGTGAGCAGGGCAACTGTCTGGCTCTCTGGGACCCAGGAGGTAGAGGTTCCCAGGACTCACGTGGTGGTGATGATCTCATCCTTGGTTCTTCGGATCAGCAGCACAGGGCCCTGGTACCTTCAGGGGACAGAGCAGTGGGCGGGAGAGCTCAGGGAGGCAGGTGGCAGCTGGCCACCTCGTCCTGCGCTGGCTGTATTCCTAGCCCCTGCTCAGCAGGGCCCATGGGCTAGCCCAGCTGTGGGCAAACTACGGCCTGCAGGCCGGATCCGGCCCGGTTGAAATGAATAAAACTAAAAAAAAAAGACCGTACCCTTTTATGGAATGATGTTTACTTTGAATTTACATTAGTTCACACAAACACTCCATCCATGCTTTTGTTCCAGCCCTCCGGTCTAGTTTAAGAACCCATTGTGGCCCTCGAGTCAAAAAGTTTGCCCTGCTCTAGACCCTCACCCAGGGACGAGTCAGAATATTTAAGGGCCTGCGTCGACCTATGAACCAGGTCTTGGTTCACTTCCCATCAGGGCACATGCCCAGGTGGTGGGGCGTGCAGGAGGCAGCTGATCGATGATTCTCTCTCACCATTGATGTTTCTATGTCTCCCTCTCCCTTCCTCTCTGGAATCAATTTAAAAAAGAAGAAGAAGGTGGAGGGTCCCAGGGACCTGGGTTAGGCTATCTAGGGTGGGGGCAGGGTCACTCAAGGGATTTGGGGCGGTGGTCACTTGCCAAGTTGCACTTTAGTACTAACTTCAGCGGTTGCACCCCCAGCAGAGCTGTGAGGGGACTCAGGGGGGCAGGTGTTACCTGCACAGCTGCTCCGCGTTGTTTAGATTGAGGTGCTGCCTCACGGTCCTGGTCACCAGGCCCCCTAGAGTGGGACGAAAGTGAAGGGAGAGCAGAGACAAAGCCCTTGCCCAACACAAAGGTCTTCGCTATTCATGGGGGAGTCTGCTTCTCAGCAACGGGCCACCCACTCTCTGCCGTGGAAACGCGAACCATCGCCAGCTCACAGCGCCAGGGCAGCCCACCCCCAGCAAGGCAGGCCTGCGGCTGTACTCACTGCAGCTGTCTGGCATGACTTTTAAGGCCAAGGGCACCAGGTCATCAAAGGAGGCATCCAGGATCACAGCACTAATGTCTGGGTAGGACATGGCTGCCCACGTGGCTGGTACCAGGACCGGGAAGAAGGGCAAGGACTGAGGGACTCCCGCCCACCACCCCAGCCTCCTCCCACTGACCATGTGGGCTGACCCCACCCTCCTACTAGGTAGCCCCAGGGCTCTCCCGGCCCTCACGTTCCTCGTGGGCACTGCCTGGAGGATGGAGGAGACGATGACAGTGCGCTGGAGACAACCCACAGGAAGCCTCGCCGCCCTGATCGTCCCAGCCCCGGCCCCAGGTCTTCTTGTGAACACTGGTGTCAGTGTGGAGGGATGTGAAGTGTATGTGCACAGGATGCCTTCCTCCAGACCAGCCGAGACCCTCTCCTTCCTTAAGCCCCACCCCACTCCGGGCCACTCCCCTTGGGGGGGGGAGCTGAATGAGCGTACAGTGTGGGGAGGAGGGAGGCTGGTACCAGTGAAGCCGCCGATGGACCAGGCGTAGAGGATGATGTCCTGGGGCTGGAAGCCCAGGCGGTGGACAGCAAACTGGACCACCACGTCCATGGCGTTGGCCTCATTCTGTGGGAATGGCACCCCCTGCAGGAGGAAGGGCAAAGGCAGGAGAGCGTCAGCACCACCGGCCAGCCGGCCTGCCGCCCACACCCTCCCAGAGTGGACCCTCCCTGCAGCTACTCTGCAACAGAGGAATAAAAGGGGGGGCTCTCCCCAGAAACCAGCGTGGACCGAGATCCACCCTCTGTCCACTGCCTTCCCTCCTGCAACCCCCCTGGGAGGGGCTCCCCATGCCTGCAGCTCCCTGCCCCTGGCACCCAGGTCACAGGTGAGTGGGAGCCCCACAGAAATGTGCAGAGGGTCTCACCGTACTCCCGGCAAAGCCTGGATGGTTCCAGCCCAGGACTGAATACCCAGCTGCAACACAAGGTGGGGAGGGGCTGGGGCCTCCGGGCCTATACCCCCAGCTCCCCGCCCACCCCAGCAGTAGGGCACCAGAGCGCTAACCACGCCCACCAGGGGCAAATAACACTGAGCCTTCCCAGGATGGGGAGACAACACCCACCAAAGGTTCGGAGGCGGCAGAGGGAGATGTGTGACCGCGAGGAGGGATAAAGGTTAGGGACACAGCCCAGGGCAGGGACGTATGGTGCGCAAAGCAAATGGGGGAGGACTTTCCCCACAGTGAAGGTTTCAACTTTACCCACAGCAAGTGGTCAGGTCAGGGGAGATCACGTCCGTGTGGGAAGATGGGGATGTTCCATTCCAAGGGGCAGAGACAAGAGGGCTGAGCCCTGGGCCTACCTTCCAGAGGTGTGGAGACACAGCCCACCTCGTAGAAGCCCGCATTCCCCTCGCAGCAGATCACCTGCGGAAGGAGGCGGGAAGGAGGCTGGGAAAGGGCCAAAGGGGCTGAGGAGCCCTGTGGCAGGGAGGGCAGCTGAGGGAGCTTCGCAGGGAAGAGGGAGGCGCATTCCTGTTCTCCCCACAGGGAATAGAAATAACGGTTTCACAAGGTCCCGGAGCCGAGAGGCAAGGAGCAAACATCCAGGAAGAACGTTCTAGCTGCCCCGCTCGGCTGCCCCTCACAGCGCCCATCTGGAGACAAAGGCGGGGTCTCTCGGGGATGGGAGTTGGGGTTCTTCATTTCCCGGTTTGGGGTCTATTTTTTCTGTCTTTCGTGTGGTAGGGCAATGGCTATTCCTCTTCCTCTCTGAGCTCAAGTCTACACCCCCACACACTAATTCCAAGGTGCCCCAGGCCAAAGCCTTGAGGATGGGGTTTCTGTGGGCTCCTGGCGCGGGCAGAGCCTGGACGGGAACCTGCTCCCCGCCTCCTGGCTTGGTGCTGTTTCCAGGGCTGCTCCATGGAGCAGGGGCTCTGGAGCCTGGTGCACACGCCGGCGCTCCCACCAGCGAACTGTGACCCGGAAGCTTTCTGTGCCACCTGTAGGGGCCAATATAAACGCCTCCTCCCGGGGTTGTGGGGGCTGAGTACAGGGGTTGTGGGGACGGAGTACAGGGATTGTGGGGACGGAGTACAGGGGTTGTGGGGACGCAGTACAGGGGTTGTGGGGGCTGAGTACAGGGGTTGTGGGGACGGAGTACAGGGATTGTGGGGACGGAGTACAGGGGTTGTGGGGACGCAGTACAGGGGTTGTGGGGGCTGAGTACAGGGGTTGTGGGGACGGAGTACAGGGATTGTGGGGACGGAGTACAGGGGTTGTGGGGACGCAGTACAGGGGTTGTGGGGGCTGAGTACAGGGGTTGTGGGGACGGAGTACAGGGATTGTGGGGACGGAGTACAGGGGTTGTGGGGACGCAGTACAGGGGTTGTGGGGGCTGAGTACAGGGGTTGTGGGGACGGAGTACAGGGATTGTGGGGACGGAGTACAGGGGTTGTGGGGACGCAGTACAGGGGTTGTGGGGGCTGAGTACAGGGGTTGTGGGGACGGAGTACAGGGATTGTGGGGACGGAGTACAGGGGTTGTGGGGACGCAGTACAGGGGTTGTGGGGGCTGAGTACAGGGGTTGTGGGGACGGAGTACAGGGATTGTGGGGACGGAGTACAGGGGTTGTGGGGACGCAGTACAGGGGTTGTGGGGGCTGAGTACAGGGGTTGTGGGGACGGAGTACAGGGATTGTGGGGACGGAGTACAGGGGTTGTGGGGACGCAGTACAGGGGTTGTGGGGGCTGAGTACAGGGGTTGTGGGGACGGAGTACAGGGATTGTGGGGACGGAGTACAGGGGTTGTGGGGACGCAGTACAGGGGTTGTGGGGGCTGAGTACAGGGGTTGTGGGGACGGAGTACAGGGATTGTGGGGACGGAGTACAGGGGTTGTGGGGACGCAGTACAGGGGTTGTGGGGGCTGAGTACAGGGGTTGTGGGGACGGAGTACAGGGATTGTGGGGACGGAGTACAGGGGTTGTGGGGACGCAGTACAGGGGTTGTGGGGGCTGAGTACAGGGGTTGTGGGGACGGAGTACAGGGATTGTGGGGACGGAGTACAGGGGTTGTGGGGACGCAGTACAGGGGTTGTGGGGGCTGAGTACAGGGGTTGTGGGGACGGAGTACAGGGATTGTGGGGACGGAGTACAGGGGTTGTGGGGACGCAGTACAGGGGTTGTGGGGGCTGAGTACAGGGGTTGTGGGGACGGAGTACAGGGATTGTGGGGACGGAGTACAGGGGTTGTGGGGACGCAGTACAGGGGTTGTGGGGGCTGAGTACAGGGGTTGTGGGGACGGAGTACAGGGATTGTGGGGACGGAGTACAGGGGTTGTGGGGACGCAGTACAGGGGTTGTGGGGGCTGAGTACAGGGGTTGTGGGGACGGAGTACAGGGATTGTGGGGACGGAGTACAGGGGTTGTGGGGACGCAGTACAGGGGTTGTGGGGGCTGAGTACAGGGGTTGTGGGGACGGAGTACAGGGATTGTGGGGACGGAGTACAGGGGTTGTGGGGACGCAGTACAGGGGTTGTGGGGGCTGAGTACAGGGGTTGTGGGGACGGAGTACAGGGATTGTGGGGACGGAGTACAGGGGTTGTGGGGACGCAGTACAGGGGTTGTGGGGGCTGAGTACAGGGGTTGTGGGGACGGAGTACAGGGATTGTGGGGACGGAGTACAGGGGTTGTGGGGACGCAGTACAGGGGTTGTGGGGGCTGAGTACAGGGGTTGTGGGGACGGAGTACAGGGATTGTGGGGACGGAGTACAGGGGTTGTGGGGACGCAGTACAGGGGTTGTGGGGGCTGAGTACAGGGGTTGTGGGGACGGAGTACAGGGGTTGTGGGGACTGAGTGCAGGGGTTGCACGTAGTAAGTGCTTTCTTCTCGGGGACGATTACAATGAGGACTTTTGGTCTTTGAATGTCAGCTCCACTTCATCTATTTCCTGTGGTGGGCTTCCTGCACCAGCAGGTCTTTAGGTGGAGCTGGGGGTGGGGTACCGGCAGGTGCGCTTCCTGAGACCCCCAGAACCTCACTGCCCTCCCCACACTCTAGCTCGGGCCCCTACCCCTGCTCCCTCTCACCAGCTTCTGTCCCTGGGGCTCAGCTGTCCCCCGCCGGTCCACAAACATGGTGTCAATCTCGTTGCCATCACAGGCCAGCAGCTTTGCCCGGCGCCCATCACACTGAGTGGGGAGATGCAAGGCCAAGTTAAGGGCATGAGGCTACCTCCTTCAGGGGAGAGAGCTGTGGGGGGAGGGGCGGGGCAGGAGGCTCACCTCTTCCACCAGCCGGGCCTGGCCCTGCAGGAGCACAGGCATGAGGGCCTTCTGGAGCAGGTACACGGAGCCGGGGTACAGCATCCGGCGCCCCAGGGTGTGGGCCACCAGGTAGCTGTGGGAGCATGGAGTTAAGGGGGCCCAGGCCTGTCCCAGACCGAACACAAACAGCTTCCTTGGCCTCTTTCGGGACTTAATGAAATATATGCACAAGGCTGGTGTTTTTCAAACTTTTTTTTACTGCAACCTTTGTAAGACACACATTTTATATTGTAGCCCAGTATATACAATTCTGAAAGTTTTATGAGATAATACATAATACTTTATATATGTGATAAGTAAAAGCAAAGTTTTCAAAGATGAATCTGTTCATGTATAAATGCAACTTAATAAAAGTCCCAAAATAAATAATACTTGGAAAAAAATGACAGTGATTCACTAAATTAATTTCAAGAGTCACTAATGGGTCAAGATGGGTAGTTTGAAAGACACCAAATAGACTGCAACTCCTTCGGGGCAGGGACCTGGCTGTTTTGCTCACTTTTTAAAAAAATTATTATTATTTATTGATTTCAGAGGGGGAGGAGGAGGGAGACAGAGATAGAAACAATGATGAGAGAGAATCATTGGTTGGCTGCCTTCTACTGAGGATCGAGACCGCAATCCAGGCATGTGCCCTTGACAGGAATCGAACCAGGGACCCTTCAGTCCGCAGGCCAACAGCCTATCCACTGAGCCAAACCAGCGAGGGCTGTTTTGCTCACTTTGATATGTCTGATATCTGTCCATCGGAGGTGCCAGAGCCTGGCGCACAGTAGGGCGCAATAAACTGTTACTGAACAAATGTGCTAATCTATACATGTAAGATGTAGTAGGTGCTGCTGCTGACAAGGACAATTAACCACTTCCAGGTCACCCCCGAGTAGAGTTTGTCCCTGAACAACACTGCATGACCGCTTCCAGCATCCCCCTGAGAACCCCAACTTTGCTGGCCCCTCTGACAGTCAGCACTGTCAGCACCAGCCACCCTCCCTGGCCTGGAACGTGCCTTCTGGCGCCACCACCAGGAGCTCCACTGTTACTCCAGCATCATCAGTGCCCACGGCTACCATTTCCTTGGGCTCTACCTCATGCTCTCAAGTCCCCCGCAGGCTCGATGCCCTTCACAAACGCCACCCTACGTGCTGTCACCAACCTGCGAGGTGGGTTACGCACGGTGCACAAACTAGCTTGCTCAGGTGGATTGCCAGGAGCCAGGACACAGCCAGGGCTCTGTGTCCTCTCCCCACCTCCCTCTAGGCCTTGGGGCCTTGGGTGTTGGTGAAGCGCAGCTGGAAGAGCTTTCGTGGCCCTGGCCAATGTTGCTCAGTGGTTAGAGCGTTGGTCCATGCACCCAAGAATCACAGGTTCAATTGCTGGTTAAGGGCATGTACCTGGGTTGCAGTTCAATCCCCGGCCCCAGTTGGTAGGTGTGTGTGTGTAGGAGGCAAAATTTGATGTCTCTCTCTCTCCACTTCCACCCACCCACCCTCTCTGAAAATCAATGAAAAAAATATCCTCGGGTGAGGATTAACCAAAAACACCCAAAAAGAGCTTTCGTGCCAGACAGAACAGGGTTACTCCCCCAGCTCTCCCTCACCGCCAGGAGCCCTTTCCGTCACACGTGCACATGGATAAACATGACTTTGCCACTAATAGTATGAAGCACGCAGCGGATCTGTCTTACAATGGAGCACCCAGTCCCAGAGCCATGCGGGCCTCTCCTCCCTGCTGCTCCCCACCTGGTGATCTGACAAGGCAGCTTCTTGGCGCGGTTGAGGAGGGTGTCTGCTGTCCCCCGGTGCAGGGGCTCTGGGCGGAGCAGGGCCACTCCCCGGCGGGAAGGGCCCCCTCGGGACTCCTTCCTGAGGAATGGAAAGGTGAGGGGAGGGTGTCTGAGGTC